GTGGCCCTTTGGAGCCATTACCAGCATCATTAACTGATACTGGAGATCTGTGGAGGCGCGACTGCACCCTACGGAGAGGTCATGACCTCTGGGTCCAGTTGAGTCAACGTGTGACCCTTCACGCACTGACCCACATCACGGATGTGTCAGCAGGATGAAGCTGTGCCAATGGGACACACACTTAAGTCCACTTTCGGGACCAAAGAGCCAAAGCTCAACCCCCGCAAGCGCAAATACTCACTTAATCGCCTCAGAATTTGGAGCAATTTTAAAATTTGAGATTTTTATTTGAGATTTGAGATTTGAAATTTAAAATTTAAAATTGGAGCGAAATTTAAAAAAAAAATATGTTAAAAAGTTAAAGCTAAATAACAAATTCACGACTTTTGAAGAAATAATTATCATGTTTATTAGTGGGGAAAAAATAAGATCCGCACGTTTAAAGTGTGCGGACTGAGTCAGGTGTTCTACCGTGACTACACACCTGCAGGGTATCAAACACCTGTTGGGGGGGGATAGGGCTGGGGGACTACTGAAACGATATGCTACAATACATCGCATATTCCGCACCCAATACAGGCTCCAAGCCTCGTTCCTTACCTGGTTCTAGCAGGTGCTCTCTACCTGGTTCCAGCAGGTGCTCTCTACCTGGTTCCAGTAGGTGCTCTCTACCTGGTTCCAGCAGGTGTTCTCTACCTGGTTCCAGCAGGTGCTCTCTACCTGGTTCCAGCAGGTGCTCTCTACCTGGTTCTAGCAGGTGTTCTCTACCTGGTTCTAGCAGGTGCTCTCTACCTGGTTCTAGCAGGTGTTCTCTACCTGGTTCTAGCAGGTGCTCTCTACCTGGTTCCAGCAGGTGTTCTCTACCTGGTTCTAGCAGGTGCTCTCTACCTGGTTCCAGCAGGTGCTCTCTACCTGGTTCCAGTAGGTGCTCTCTACCTGGTTCCAGCAGGTGTTCTCTACCTGGTTCCAGCAGGTGCTCTCTACCTGGTTCCAGCAGGTGTTCTCTACCTGGTTCCAGCAGGTGCTCTCTACCTGGTTCCAGCAGGTGCTCTCTACCTGGTTCCAGCAGGTGTTCTCTACCTGGTTCCAGCAGGTGCTCTCTACCTGGTTCCAGCAGGTGTTCTCTACCTGGTTCCAGCAGGTGCTCTCTACCTGGTTCAAGTTATGTTACTCTTTCACCTTGTTGACCCAAACATATTGTCGATGAGTATGTGTGATGAGTCAGGGGAGAGGTGAGCCACAGTTGACATGAGTAGTTGGTTATCCTGAGTGGTACTCCACTCAGGATAACCACTCAGGATAACCACCCAGGAGTGTTCACTCCACTGTGTTTGTAACTGCTCTGCTGCTTGTATAATCTTACCCAATTTCTCCCGTTTATTTTGAACCTGATTTCTTAATTATCACTTTTTTTTTCTTATCTGCCCACTTCGATGTTTCTGTATGCCACTTTGCCAGTATTAGGTCTAATATATTATTTGCCCTAAGTGATTCTGTAAGATGTTTGAGGGAGTACTCTTGAACTGCCTCCACAAATTTGTCTGCCTCAGTATACCTTGAGGTGCCTTGAGGTGCTTCCGGGGCTTAGCGTCCCCGCGGCCCGGTCGTCGACCAGGCCTCCTGGTTGCTGGACTGTATTCCAGTATTATCCCACTATTTGCGCAGTTTATTAGCTACAATTTAATTTTAGTTGATTTTACAATTCTACAATTCAATTTACGATACAATTTACCATTCTACAATTCAATTTTATTAACTACAGTTTCGGTTTGCCCGAAACGCTATGCGTTCTAGTGGCTTTAGGTATTGTATGTACTAGCTCTATCTATAAATCCAACATTATGTGTGTAAATCACGAAAAATAAACACGTGATTAAAAATGTGACAGTGTCAGACCACGGAGGAAAATTGAAACAGGAATTTCCTTAAGTACTTTCGTATATTAATACATCTTCAGAAGGAGTGACATTATGTTGGAGTACCTCCAACATTATGTTTGTAAATCAACTATGTAATTTCCTGAATAAAATTTACTTTAAGTCGCCTATAATGGAACTGTTACACCTGGATGCTCTAGATATTTCTGCTTAGATATGGCTTCCCACTGTCGGTGACAGGAAGCCTGGTAGGCTTATGTAGGTCGCCCGCCGCCAAACACTGACCTTTTCCAGAGAGCAGGCCACAACTGCTGCTTAACTCCAGGTACCTATTGACTGCTTGGCGAACAGAGGCATTAGGTGAAAGGAGACGTGCTCTAAACCTTGTTGGCAGGCTAAACTTTCCGTCACCCTGGCCTAATGATTCCAGCCTCCCGTCACCCTAAGCTATACACGCCAGACTAAGCCTCGCATCACTTTAACCTGTACCTTGTGTGCTATAATATGTGGACATTCCAGGAGGCAACTTAACCTAACCCAGTGAGGATTTCCCGCGCTCCCGTCCGTCCGAAACTGTTGCCGCTGGTGCCTGGGCAGAGGGCATTGGGGAGGGGTTCTAATCTGGCAAAGGTGTGTCCGGTCTACCATAATAAGAACGCTTTAAGTGGAGTGTAGCGAAAGTGCGCCTGACGGTGGGCCTGGGAACGCCAGGCCTCTTGTAAGTGTTCATTAACATGTTTGATTGCATCTATAATTCCCTAGCAACATTGCGGTATCAACCAGCACCCACAATCTCCCTGCGGCGCGGAGAAAATCATTCCCTAGTACATATCACGCTATGTAAACAATGAGAGCAGGAGACATTGACGAAGATTAAGCCAGCCAAGAGGCGGCGCGGGCATGAATAAGCCCGTAGAGCAGGAGACAACACGCCATGACGGTTTTATATAAACACACGAGTCGACGCTTCCAGGAAAATCCCCAGACGCAGGCGGAGGAGGACAAGTCCGACCCGAGTCACACTGGTATCTCGGTAACCCTATTGTGGAACACACTCAACCTGCAGCTTAATTAGCGCCGGCACGCTCACAATTACAGAACTGTGGGGTTGTTATCTCGAACGCGGAATAGTCACGCACATTGAAGGAATGAGGAAAAACGAGGCGAGTTTCAAAAGTAGGTGTGTAATTACACACAGAGATCCCACTAACGTGATGCATCAAATGAACAAATCCACAAGGGCCGTGACGAGGATTCAGTCGATTAGGGCAGTGTCTGGGATGTTCCCGGACGCAGGTTCGAATCCTCGTCACGGCCCTTGTGGATTTGTTCATTAGGTGTGTAATTGTGGAACGAGAACAGGTGTAAATAACTGGTGTGCGGGGGCACGGGTAATAGGAGGTACTATTAAACACAATGGGGGAAGGGGGTCTTTTGAGTATTAGGAAATAGGGCTGTTCCTCGCCTTATACACATCACCCCTTCCCCAGGTGTAAATTACAAAATTCGGAGATTAGCATACAAGCAAGTCATAATTTATTTTCCCAGGATTCATTACATTTCACAACTTTTCAAAAAACTGCGGGAAAACAAGATACAGTGACACACATCTCTCCCGTCTCTCTCTTACGAACACTTCCTGTCCCGTCTCTCTCTTACGAACACTTCCTGTCCCGTCTGTCTCTTACAAACACTTCCTCTCCCGTCTCTCTCTCTCTTACGAACACTTCCTCCCCCATCTCTCTCTCTTGCGAACATTTCCTGTCCCATCTCTCTTTCACGAACACTTCTTCTCCCGTCTCTCTCTTACGAACACTTCCTCTCCCGTCTCTCTCTCTTACGAACACTTCCTCTCCCGTCTCTCTCTCACGAACACTTCCTCTCCCATCTCTCTCTCGTATGAACACTTCCTCTCCCATCCCTCTCTTACGAACACTTCCTGTCCCATCTCTCTCTTTCACGAACACTTTCTCTCCTGTCCCTCTCTCTCTCTTACGAACACTTCCTCTCCCGTCTCTCTCTCACGAACACTTCCTCTCCCATCTCTCTCTCTTACGAACACTTCCTCTCCCATCTCTCTCTCGTATGAACACTTCCTCTCCCATCCCTCTCTTACGAACACTTCCTGTCCCATCTCTCTCTTTCACGAACACTTTCTCTCCTGTCTCTCTCTCTCTCTTACGAACACTTCCTCTCCCGTCTCTCTCTCACGAACACTTCCTCTCCCATCTCTCTCTCTTACGAACACTTCCTCTCCCATCTCTCTCTCGTATGAACACTTCCTCTCCCATCCCTCTCTTACGAACACTTCCTGTCTCATCTCTCTCTTTCACGAACACTTTCTCTCCTGTCTCTCTCTCTCTCTTACGAACACTTCCTCTCCCATCTCTCTCTCACGAACACTTCCTCTCCCATCTCTCTCTCTTACGAACACTTCCTCTCCCATCTCTCTCTCGTATGAACACTTCCTCTCCCATCCCTCTCTTACGAACACTTCCTGTCCCATCTCTCTCTTTCACGAACACTTTCTCTCCTGTCTCTCTCTCTCTCTTACGAACACTTCCTCTCCCGTCTCTCTCTCACGAACACTTCCTCTCCCATCTCTCTCTCTTACGAACACTTCCTCTCCCATCTCTCTCTCTTACGAACACTTCCTCTCCCATCTCTCTCTTACGAACACTTCCTCTCCGGCCGTCACTCAAGTGTTTATCTTCCAGGATGACGACAATAACGCGTGAAGAACAGCCAGGGGAGGGGATGGATGGGGGGGGATTTCACACCTTCATGCCAGCACTTTCCTTAATTATATTTAAATTAGATTAATCATCACCTATGACATTCATGACACTTTTCTCCACCATTCTTGACACTTTCCTCCAACAAAGATAAGGAAAAAAGAAAGGGAGAGAGAGAGAGAGAGAGAGAGAGAGAGAGAGAGAGAGAGAGAGAGAGAGAGAGAGAGAGAGAGAGAGAGAGAGAGAGAGAGAGAGAGAGAGAGAGAGAGAGAGAGAGAGAGAGAGAGAGAGAGAGAGAGAGAGAGAGAGAGAGAGAGAGAGAGAGAGAGAGAGAGAGAGAGAGAGAGAGAGAGAGAGAGAGAGAGAGAGATAGAGACAGAGACAGTACCTGCGTTACTCTCTGTGGCTCCCGCCTGCTGGAGGACCCTGGCCAGGGCGGCGTGGTTGTGCATCACTGCCACCTCCAGCACGTTGGAGCCGTCCTTGTTAACGCTGTGGGGGGACCAGAACACTTGGTTAGTGCCACTTGTGGTGGTAGTTGTGGTTGTGGTGGTAGTGATAGTTGTGGTCGTGGTGGTTGTGGTGGTAGTGGTGGTGGTAGTGGTGGTGGTGGTGGTAGTGGTGGTAGTGGTGGTTGTGGTAGTGGTGGTTGTGGTAGTGGTGGTGGTGGTTGTGGTAGTGGTGGTTGTAGTAGTGGTAGTGTGAGAGATTGAATTTTACCTCTAGGTTATCGCTACTCTATATCAGTGCTCTCTCTCTCTCTCTCTCTCTCTCTCTCTCTCTCTCTCTCTCTCTCTCTCTCTCTCTCTCTCTCTCTCTCTCTCTCTCTCTCTCTCTCTCTCTCTCTCATACACTGTCCAAAGGCCCTTCATTCGATTCCTAGCCAAGGCAGAAACAAATGGACGGTTTCTTTCACCTGATGCATCTGTTCCCCTAACAGTAAAGAGGTGTCTGGGAGTTAGACAACTGTTACGGGTTGCGTCCTTGGTGTGTGTGTGTGTGTGTGTGTGTGTGTGTGTGTGTGTGTGTGTGTGTGTGTGTGTGTGTGTGTGTGTGTGTGTGTGTGTGTGTGTGTTTGAGTGTGTGAAATACATGTAGTAAATATAATACCGAAAATTAAGTCGGGAGTCAGCACATTAGACAACCGACGATTAGAAAGGCGGGGTCCAAGAGCTAACAGCCTCGATCCTGCAGATACAAATAGTAAATACAAGTAAATACTCTCCCTCCCCCCCCACACACACACGCCTGCTTCTCCATACACACACACACACACACACACACACACACACACACACACACACACACACACACACACACACACACACACGTGACTAACCGATTTGTCGTTGTTGTTAAACATTCGCTACCTGGAACGTAAAATTCCAAGTAGCACGGGCTATGGTGAGCCCGTAGGCCTTAGTACTTACCTATTAATGTCTAGTTGATTATGTTCGATGATATTCTTTGCCTTCTCCAGCTGCCCGTGTTCCACCGTCGCAAAGAGCGCTGTGGAGGGAGAGAGAGAGAGAGGAGATCAGCAGACATAGAATACACACACACACAAGCCAGACACACACACAGGGAAAGAAAATTGTAGATATGTCGTAATAGCAAGCCGGGGGGGGGGGGGGGGGTGTCAGACTTGCTGACACGGTGTGTGTGTGTGTGTGTGTGTGTGTGTGTGTGTGTGTGTGTGTGTGTGTGTGTGTGTGTGTGTGTGTGTGTTTGGTGGCTAAGCTTGCTCTGTTGCCAGGTGTTTGGTGGCTAAGCTTGCTCTATTGCCAGGTGTTTGGTGGCTAAGCTTGCTCTATTGCCAGGTGTTTGGTGGCTAAGCTTGCTCTATTGCCAGGTGTTTGGTGGCTAAGCTTGCTCTATTGCCAGGTGTTTGGTGGCTAAGCTTGCTCTATTGCCAGGTGTTTGGTGGCTAAGCTTGCTCTATTGCCAGGTGTTTGGTGGCTAAGCTTGCTCTATTGCCAGGTGTTTGGTGGCTAAGCTTGCTCTATTGCCAGGTGTTTGGTGGCTAAGCTTGCTCTATTGCCAGGTGTTTGGTGGCTAAGCTTGCTCTATTGCCAGGTGTTTGGTGGCTAAGCTTGCTCTTTTGCCAGGTGTTTGGTGGCTAAGCTTGCTCTATTGCCAGGTGTTTGGTGGGTGTTTTAGTAAGGTGTTTAACCTAAAACGCAGCATATGAACGCTTTGGAGCGTTCATCTGCGCACACACACTGATGCCTCTGGGCATGCTTAGCTGCTCCTCTGCATAGGTCATGATTTTGGGTAGCTATGCCTTCTTACATGGGGAGGGGGGGGGGAGTCAAAATCAACATTCTATCATGCAATTATGTATTGAGGGACTGGGTTGCCCACAAGTAAATTCAAGCTCTTGGGCCACCAGGGGCCAGATTCACGAAGCAGTTACGCAAGTACTTACGAACGTGTACATCTTTCCTCAATCTTTGACGGCTTTGGTTACATTTATTAAACAGTTTACAAGCATGAAAACTTCCCAATCAACTGTTGTTATTGTTATAAACAGCGTCCTGGTGCTTCGGAGCTCATTAACTGTTTAATAATTGTAAATAAAGCCGCCAAAGATTGAGAAAAGATGTCCAGGTTCGTAAGTGCTTGCGTAACTTCTTCGTGAATCTAGTCCCAGATTAATTCTGAAAGAAAAATGAGCCAAGAGAGTAAACCAGTCGTTGTTTATCAGGATACTCCTCTTGTGGAGAGGATAAAGATACACTGAACACTGAGTGTATGGAGCGGGATAATCCAGAGTGCTGCACAAGGGCCATGTTGGTGTGTTGTGCGACCATCCCTGACCTGGTCACAAGGGTGCAGGTGAAGACGTTATCTGGTCAAATGAACAAATCCACAAGGGCCGTGACGAGGATTCGAACCTGCGTCCGGGAGCATCCCAGACACTGCCTTAATCGACTGAGCTACGACAGGGTAAAAAGGTTGAAACCGGCCCTTGTGGATTTGTTCATTTGATGCATCACGTTAGTGTGATCTCTGTGTGTAGTTATCTGGTCGACGACCCACTCGCTAAGAGTACCACGACAGGGCCAAGAAGTAAGTCGAAAACAAGGAGACAGGAAGACAAGTGACTAACGTAAACAACGAAGAAGGGGAGCATAACAGAAAATAACAAAGAAACGTACAAAATTTTAAACAAACGATATCAGGAAATGCTCAAACAAGAGTCGGGAAAGCTGGGGCTTGTGTGAGGACAGTGGCAGACAGACAGACAGACAGACAGACAGACAGACAGACAGACAGACAGACAGACAGACAGACAGACAAGAGGACAAGTACCAGAGTTGTGACAACACAAACATGATTTAGTGGAGCTGGATGAGACAAAAACAGCAGATCATTGACCAAAAAGTTTATGTGGCACACTAAAGTAAACTTCTGCGGAGTAGAGAATGTTGTTGTTTTAGATCGCGCTACTCCACGTACAATATTTCCATGTAGTGGGCTCCTTGTGATGCCCGCTACATGGGCACCATAAGGAGCGGGCACCATAAGGAGCGGGCACCATAAGGAGCGGGCACCATAAGGAGCGGGCACCATAAGGAGCGGGCACCATACTCCTTGTACGTAAGGAGGAGAGAAGACTACTGCCGTTGATATATAACACCTCACTATAAAAAGGAGAACACTTTTATATATCTTGCCAGACATATAAAAGCCAGGAGCGAAGGTTTATATATATCACTGAAATCCTACATATAGGGAAAAAAACACAATCTAGAGCTATCAATCACCCTAAATTGAATACCAAGTCACATTGGCATTGATGGTAATGAAAAGGCAGACTCACTAGCAAAAACTACCACTGCTCTACCTGTTGTACAGGTAAAAATACCTCCACGTTTCTCACAGATTAAGGAGCAAATCAAAGAAGAAAATACTCCCAACTATCAAAAGTCGCCACAGAGCCAAAGTAGCGGAAGGGAAATTCACTGCGATGTGGTACGAACAAGCCACTGGCTTGTTCGTACCACTGCCACTGGGTACTACTCGTACTGCCACTGGGTACTACTCTTTCAAGCCTGGCAAAAACCTATCCAGACACACTGCAGTAGCCACACACACACCCAGACTTGGCTACAAGTGCTGCTGGGAGGTAATAAACCCAATAGTTAAAGTGTGTCATATCTGTGCAACAGATGCAGAAAATGCCACTATTGCATTACTTACTGGAATGTGAAGCAAGTGAAGCCTTGTCCATCAAACTCAACAACCCGCAAGCACAAATAGGTGAGTACAAATAGGTGAATAGGTGAGTACAGAGAAATGATAGAGGTTACATGCGATAATTAGTTTTTTAATACACTTACACTTACACCTATATTGGGTCTTTCCTTCATTCAAGTACTACGGCATTGTAGTAAGTTTCTTAATACGAATATTATATACAAGATACAGAAGGACGTGGACAAGTTTCAGGACTGTTCTAAGAAATGGTTACTAAACTTCAACCTATATAAATGCAAGGCAACGCTAACTCTTAGGAGAGTCATCATAATATGTAATGATGGGTTGTAACATAAGAGTTGTCAAGAATCTAGGAAGACTCCTCCAGAGTGCCGTAAACAACGTACATTAGACACGTCTAGAATATATGCAGCTCTGGCACGGAGCCTCCTCCTAAAGCAGCATAAAATCAAACTACAGGTATGCAACGCTTACACCACTGGCGAGAAAACGAGAGCAGTGAGGGAGCTGGGCCTCACCACACTTGAGAAACAGAACAGAGGAGACATAGTAGTGACATACACGATTCTCAGGGAATAAATCGAGTAAATGCAAAAGCTGTGAGTAGTATGTGAGCTTGCGGCCTGTTAACACATTCTCACTGACCAAGTAATCACTAGAAAGTAGACAAACTCTCGAAGTGAGCCACGGGTAAACGGGCAAGGACAGGCACTGTAGGAGCGAGTGGTGACGAGGGTGTTAGGAAGAAGTACCCTGTAAGAGCAGTGAGCAAAGAGAGAGGATAAGAGGAAGGGGTGTTATAATCTAGTTCAACAGCCTCAAAAGCATGTGCGATAAGACACAAGAGTGCCTGGAGTGGCTGCATTAGACAAGTGACAGCGTATAGGTCGGGGCTTAGGAGGGAAGGGAGGGAATTATCAAGGGAAAGCACCAAGCCATTACGACTATATAGCACTTGGAAAGGGTCAGGATAAGGATTTGGGATGGGACAGAGGGAAGGAATGGTGCCCAACCACTTACACGGTCGGGGATTGAACGCCGACCTGCATGACGCGAGACCGTCGCTCTACCGTCCAGCCCAAGTGGTTGGACTCGGGGCTTAGGAGATAATGTTCAACCCTGGAAGCACACACACAGGTCAGTATAAACACAACAATTAGGTGAATGTACACTTGAGATCTTATCACTCTTCCTTCTGCTTGGTCTTGAAGGAAGCGGGCCTCGGGTAAAAGAGGGCTGTGACGATCTCTGTCAGGAACCCGTAGGTGCGGGACCGGGACGTCCACCTCCTGGGGCTCGTGCGGCCCCAGACACTGCTTCAGGAGGCTGGGGTCGTTCATGCCCTTGCTGGGGTGGTTCTTCTCCGGCCCCGACCACGGCGGTCTCCGGGGTTGTAGTCCCTGTGCCTTCTTTCACCAACTTCGAGGTCAACTCCGGAACTCACAGTTCCTGCGACGGCGCTGGAACTAATCGTATTGTCGTTTGCCTTTCCATTAGAGACTTTTGGCGCCGTGGAGAGGAGGAACCTGCTGCATGGGTAACAGCTTCTCCTCCGTATCAAGCTACCCTGGCTTTGTGCCCTGGAGAGGCCACTCTAGACCGACAACCAGAGAGCAACTCCATAGTCTCCTGAGACTGATGGATGCCTACTACTACTACTACTACTACTACTACTACTACTACTACTACTACTACTACTACTACTACTACTACTACTACTACTACTACTACTACAATTGTCCAACCATTTGGGCTGGACGGTAGAGCGACGGTCTCGCTTCATGCAGGTCGGCGTTCAATTCCCGACCGTCCAAGTGGATGGGCACCATTCCTTCCCTCTGTCCCATCCCAAATCCTTATCCTGACCCTTTCCAAGTGCTATTTAGTCGCAATGGCTTGGCGCTGTCTCCTGATAGTTAATAATAATAATACTGCTACACTTGCCTACACCCTTCACCTGTACAGTACTACCCCCAACCAGTATGAGCCGAGCCTTAATGTTGCAAGTGTTTCGGCTATCTTGCCTGCCACGCTCAACACATACACAATACAATCGCAAAAAACATGAGTTATCTGTGAAAAAAACAACATTTTAAACCCGTAGTTCTATCAAACTTCATTTCCCAGATGTCTGCCTGATGGCTGAAATAGTCCCAGTAGTCACGTCAAGCTATCAACAGTTATCAACACTGTCTGCAGTTCCTCAGCAGCAGACAAGTGGCTTTTATTATCCCAAACAAATATGACTGGTCGCTGGTGACAGGTGTAGGTGACAGCAGTAAGCGTGACTTATGCCAGTAAAGCTGAGAGACTCCATAACATGGGGGCCAAGTACACGTCTCTGGCCTGCACTCCTGCCAGTTGAGTGACGTTCAGACTCCTTCATTAAGGTCTGCTCTGAGGGACCTTTATCTTTCTTGGAGGTGTTGTACAAGAGCGCCCGAGATTGTTAGTATTGCTGCACTCACACACACACACACACACACACACACACACACACACACACACACACACACACACACACACACACACACACACACACACACACACAGAAAATGGAATGCACTTCAGGAACAGGTTGTGGAAGCAAATACTATTCATAATTTTAAAACCAGGTATGATAGGGAGTCATTGCTGTAAACAACCGATGCTCGAAAGGCGGGATCCAAGAGTCAATGCTCGATCCTGCAGACACAACTAGGTGAGTACAACTAGGCGAGTACACACACACACACACAAACACACACACACACACACACACACACACACACACACACACACACATTCACACACACACACACACACAAGCCACACACAACACCACACATCTGTGTATCCTGTGTATCTCAACCCCCGACACAGGATACAGAATGGGAGATGAACTCGTAATTCTTCTGGCGCGGGTTCGATTACTTCATGAAACGGACAGAGAGAAGGATCTAGGAGTGGATATCACACCAAACCTGTCTCCTGAAGCCCACATAAAAAGAATAACATCTGCGGCGTATGGGAGGCTGACTAACATCAGAACAGCCTTCAGGAACCTGTGTAAGGAATCATTCAGAACCTTGTATACCACATATGTAAGACCAATCCTGGAGTATGCGGCCCCAGCATGGAGCCCGTACCTTGTCAAGCACAAGGCGAAGCTGGAAAAAGTTCAGAGGTATGCCACTAGACTAGTCCCAGAACTAAAAGGTATGAGTTACGAGGAAAGGCTGCGGGAAATGCATCTCACGACACTGGAAAACACGAGAGTAAGGGGAGACATGATCACTACCTAGAAAATTCTCAGAGGAATTGATAGGGTAGATAAAGATAAACTGTTTAACAAAGGTGACACAAGGGACACAGGTGGAGACTGGTGGAGAATGAGTACCCAAATGAGCCACAGGGACGTTAGAAAGAACTTTTTCAGTGTCAGAGTAGTTAACAGGTAGAATGCATTAGGCAGTGATGTGGTGGAGGCTGACTCCATACACAGTTTCAAATGTAGATATGATAGAGCCCAATAGGCTCAGGAATCTGTAAACCAGTTGATTGACAGTTGAGAGGCGGGACCAAAGAGCCAGAGCTCAACCCCCGCAAGCACAACCAGGTGAGTACAACTAGGTGAGCACACACACACACACACACACACACACACACACACACACACACACACACACACACACACACACACACACACACACACACACAGACACACACACAGACACACACAGACACACACACACACACACACACAGCCTGGTGGGGGCCTGGTAGCCTAGTACAGGGGCCTGGTAGCCTGGTGGATAGCGCGCAGTACTCGTAATTCTGTGGCGCAGGTTCGATTCCCGCACCAGGCAGAAACAAATGGGCAAAGTTTTTTTCACTCTGAATGCCCCTGTTACCTAGCAGTAAATAGGTACCTGGGAGTTAGTCAGCTGTCACGGGCTGCTTCCTGGAGTGTGTGTGTGTGTGGTGGGGAAAAAAAGTAGTTAGTAAACAGTTGATTGACAGATGAGAGGCGGGCCGAAAGAGCAAGGCTCAACCCCCGCAAGCACAATTAGGTGAATACTAGGTGAATACACACACACACACACATACACAGGAAGCAGCCTGCAGCAGCTGTCTAACTTCCAGGTACCTATTTACTGCTAGGTGAACAGGGGGATCAGGGTGAAAGAAACTCTGCCCATTTGTATCCGCCATCGCCAAGGGAGCGATCCCCGGACCCTAGGATTACGAATCCGAGCGCTGTCTACTCAGCAGTCAGGCCCCATATGTGTGTGGGTGTGTGTGTGTGTGTGTGTGTGTGTGTGTGTGTGTGTGTGTGTGTGTGTGTGTGTGTGTGTGTGTGTGTGTGTGTGTGTGTGTGTGTGGAGAGAGAGCCAGTCTTTCCCTTCTTTGTCCATCTTCTGTCGCTCAGTAAACCACTGTCGCCTCATGTATTAAAGTTATCACGTCCCTTCCTTACCACCAAATTCTACTTTCCAATTATCCATCGCGTCAACGATAATGCGATGGATAATCCCTGATAATCCATCTCCTTTCCCTGAACCCTATAGTCCCTTCCTTCCCATACTCCCTTGTCCCCCCCTCCCTCCCCTAAGTCCCCCCCCCCCTCATGCAACATACCGTGAAGGTGAATGTTGATCTTCTCAAGTTTCTTGCGGTCTGCCTTGCTGGGGTTGAGACCGTCCACCAGCACGTCGTCCATCGTCGACAGGGCTGTAGGAAGGGAAAAGTCTTCACTTTAGTACCAGTGTGTGTCTCTCTATGTCACTATAGTACCAGTGTGTGTCTCTCTATGTCACTATAGCACCAGTGTGTGTCTCTCTATGTCACTATAGCACCAGTGTGTGTCTCTCTATGTCACTATAGTACCAGTGTGTGTCTCTCTAGTCACTATACCAGTGTGTGTCTCTCTATGTCACTATAGCACCAGTGTGTGTGTCTCTCTATGTCACTGTAGCACCAGTGTGTGTGTCTCTCTATGTCACTATAGCACCAGTGTGTCTCTATATCACTATAGCACCAGTGTGTGTCTCTATATCACTATAGCACCAGTGTGTGTCTCTATGTCACTATAGCACCAGTGTGTCTCTCTATATCACTGTAGCACCAGTGTGTGTCTCTCTATGTCACTATAGCACCAGTGTGTGTCTCTCTATGTCACTATAGCACCAGTGTGTGTCTCTCTATGTCACTATAGCACCAGTGTGTGTGTGTCTTTATGTCACTATAGCACCAGTGTGTGTCTCTCTATGTCACTGTAGCACCAGTGTGTGTGTCTCTATGTCACTATAGCACCAGTGTGTCTCTCTATATCACTGTAGCACCAGTGTGTGTCTCTCTATATCACTATAGCACCAGTGTGTGTCTCTATATAAGGCTCACTTATACCACACGTTCTCATCCTCTGCTAGAGTGAGGCAGAATTGGTTATAAGTGGTGGTGGAAGCGCATGAGAACTTATAAGTGGTAAATTAGTGCACCTATATGTAATATAATGCACTCACCGACGCATTGTGTAATATTGTGTATGTTACACGACGCTCAACTACGCACCGTAATCAGCTGTTTATATATATATATATATATATATATATATATATATATATATATATATATATATATATATATATATATATTACACATTTATTCTATGTTATCTGATGGGACACATGGTCGCGTAAGTCCACACTTACGATGTTTTAATAACCATTCAGAGCACGTACACTTACGATGTTTTAATAAACCATTCGGAGCACGTATACTTACGATGTTTACTAAATCATTCAGAGCACGTACACTTAACTTACGATCCTTACTAAACCATTCACAGCACGTACACTTACGATGTTTACCAAACCATTCAGAGCACGTACACTTACGATGTGTATACTAAACCACACAGAGCTCATCTATACTTACAAGATTTACTAAACGTGACAATTAGGAGAAAAACTCGTAATACACCAATATATTATTAGGAGGAGAAAGGGAAGGAGGGGGGGGAGGAGGGGGAAGGACTTGGGTTTAATATTTTATCACTCGAGACTTGCATTTATAGGTTAGGTAATAATTGTAATTACGAAGCAATAAGATGCTTATCTTAACATACTAAGTAGGTTAGGTAATGTCGGTGTTTTCTATGAATCATTTTAAGGGTATCTATTATGTTAAGTATGTCACCTATGCACGTAGTTAATAAGTCAATATTGACTTTACGAATTTGCGAGAACGGGTTGCGAGACTTTTGGTTTACGTAAACCACTACACTGTAACTACAGTGTCTCTTACACTGTAATTACAGTGTCTCTTACACTGTAAATTACAGTGTCTCTTACATTGTAAATTACAGTGTCTCTTACACTGTAGCCACTCTGGGAGTTTATAACAGTGATTTAATGCTGCAATAATATTGGTTTATGCCATATATAATGCTGAACTTACCACTTTTCTGTATATTTACATTAATCATGCCTTTGTTAAGTAAACAGGGGGAAAAAAAGTGCCCATTTTAACACATATATAACTTCATCTATTCGGAACACTTACACTTAACAGTGCCACTATAGGTGGCACTGGCCCTATACACTTATAATAAGTCCGTCAACTCAGTCATTATCACACCAGGGTTAAGTAGGCTAAAAAAAAGGTCAGTTTAATACACTTGATATGCGCAACTATACTTAACATACTTTATACTTAACAGTCATAGCTAAACTTATATTATACATTCTCAGTTAGCACAAAACAGGTGCAAAAGCCTTCCAATAAACGCACTTGTGTATACTTATAACTGAGTGACACTCTACTTACGTATACTTATGACTGACCCCAAACTTCTGCATACTTATAACTGACTTTTAATGTATACTTTTCATTTATATTACAATGTACTTACCGGGTGCTACTGGATAACTCGGAGCGGCTGGTGCACTTATAAAAAGTAGACACGGAAATGCATACGTATTTACCGCACTTTTGAGAGAGAGAGAGAGAGAGAGAGAGAGAGAGAGAGAGAGAGAGAGAGAGAGAGAGAGAGAGAGAGAGAGAGAGAGAGAGAGAGAGAGAGAGAGAGAGAGAGAGAGAGAGAGAGAGAGAGAGAGAGAGAGAGAGAGAGAGAGAGAGAGAGAGAGAGAGAGAGAGAGAGAGAGAGAGAGAGAAGTGAGAGAGAGAGAGAAGTGAGAGAGAGAGAGAGAGAGAGAGAGAGAGAGAGAGAGAGAGAGAGAGAGAGAGAGAGAGAGAGAGAGAGAGAGAGAGAGAGAGAGAGAGAGAGAGAGAGAGAGAGAGAGAGAGAGAGACAGACAAACATACCAGCGAGGCGGGCCAACAGTGGTCATCTTGTTACCACGAGCTTAAAACACATCCAGATTTACTTATCAACTTCCAATTACTCTCTCCAAGGTCCTCTCACAGTCGTGTAACTCCTCCCCACACGTCCCCCACGAGACGCAGAGACTCCCTCCCCCCCCCCCAAGAGACGCAAAGATATTCCGCGTCACGCAGCAGACGCAAAGTCTCCCTACACATCATCCAGGAAAAAGGGAAGGAAATTTATGTAAATATATATATATATATATATATATATATATATATATATATATATATATATATATATATATATATATATATATATATATATATATATATATATCTTAATAGTAATAAAGGTATTTTTGATAATAAAATAGTGTAATGATTGGTTCAATGAGAGCGTAGTGTGGCAGTACCATCACAAGGGTCGACTTAAGCTCTTCCATTGACGGCCAGTTTGTTATTCAGGTCTCGTAAACAGGGTCATTATAACTTCCATTTAGAATTCACTGTACATCTACTAAACACTTGTAACTGTTAACTCAGCCAGCTCTTTTTTCTTCAGTAGTACACGCACGCACGCACGTACGCACGCACAAATATGCAGTCAGGCAGACTGCATATTTTGGGATTGCCAGAAAGCATTTGACACTGTACTTCATAGGAGACTAGTGCATAAGCTGGAGATGCAGGCAGGAGTAAAAGGGAATGTACTCCATTAGGTAAGGGAGTACCTAATGAACAGAAGACAGTGTCACTGTGAGGGGGGTGAGGTCTCAGAGGGGTAGGTCCACAGAAACAGTATAGGTCCTTAGACCTATATTGTTTCTGATATATGTAAATGACCTCTCAGAGGGTATAGAATCGGTCCTCTCATTATTTGCTGATGATGCAAAGATTATGAGGATTATTAAGACCGAGGAAGACAGCAAGAGGCTGCAAGATGACCAAGACAAACTGAAATAATGGTTCAACAAATGGCTACTAGAGTTTAACCAAAGTGAATGTAAGATAATGAAACTAGGAGGAAGGGAACAGGAGGCCAGACACAGGATACCGAATGGGAGACGAAGTCCTCCACGAAACGGACAGAGAGATCTAGGGGTTGATATCATGTCGAACCTGTCTCCTGAAGCCCACATTAAAATAATACAAACAGCGGCGTATGCGAGGCTGGCAAACAGCTCTTAACGTGTAACTAAGGAATCGTTGAGAACCCTGTATGCCACATATGTAAGACCAATCTTGGAGTATGCGGCTCAGGCATGGAGTCCATACGTTGTCAAGCACGAACCTGGAGAACGTCCGAAGGCATGTTACTAGTCCCAGAACTAAGAGGCATGAGTTACGAGGAAAGGTTGCGTGAAATGCACCTTACGTCGCTGGAAGACAGGAGAGCTCGGAAAGACATGATTACTACCTACAAAATTCTCAGAAAAAATGACAGGGGTAGATAAAGATTAACTGTTTAACACGGGTGGTATGCGAACAAGGGGACACAGGTGGAAACTGAGTACCCACATCAGCCACAGGGACGTTAGAAAGAACTTTTTCAGTGTCAGAGTAGTTAACAGGTGAAATGCATTAGGCAGTGATGTGGTGGAGGCTGACTCCATACACAGTTTCAAATGTAGATATGATAGAGTCCAGTAGACTCAGGCATCTGAACACCAGTTGATTGACAGTTGAAAGGCGGGACCAAAGAGCCAAAGCTCAACCCCCGCTAGCACAATTAGGTGAGTACAACTAGGTGAGTACATACATACATGCATACATACATACATACATACATACATACATACATACATACATACATACATACATACATACATACTCCATACACAGTTCGGGGACACCTCCCAGAGGGTATAGTGAAGAGAGAGTGTGCAAGTTTAAGACATAAATAACAGAGACACGAGTAAGAATGCTTGCATAACAGTAGTAGGAAAATGAACGTCAATAAGCATGTAATAGAAGCCAATGCCATTCACAATGTCAAAAGTAGATACGATAAGAAAAAAATAGACGACCCTGTAAAAACAGAACAGGGGTCCGGGTGCTGAAGGTCGACGGTGTAGGCACAACTAGGTGAGCCCATCACAGAGGGAAGAGACACGCGTCAAGGGGGAGAGACCTGACACACGAACAGCCAGGGGTCTGTGTGTGTGTGGTCGGGGGCAGTATGGGGCGCTCTATGATGCTCACCACCAACCAACTCCCCATACCTCCCTCACCCCACATACCACACCATAACTCCCCAAATCCTCCCACCCACCCACCCACCCACCAAAAACCCACCCAAATCCAGGTACTCACAAACTCTCACTCACTCTCAGAAATTTTAATATTACAACGCACTCAAAAACTGCCAAAAATTCTCCGGAAAACAAATCCCCACTTTTTTG